ATAATAATAATTTGAAATTTGAAAAATAAAATTTTACAAAATTTAAGGATAATTAAAAAAGCAAAGACATTGTTAAAAAAAACTATTACATTTCTAAGAGAATTATATAGTTATCTTATTCATTTTTTCTTCTGAAAGAAAACAGTTTAACCAAAAACCGCTTAGTTTCATAGTTTTTAACCTGTTTCTATATTAAATAGAAAATAAGTCGATTTTTCGAAAATTTATTTAAAAAAGAAATAGCTATATGAAAGAAATATACAGAGTGTGGTTTAGAAACAACATACCAAATATACACAAACTTTTAGATAATAAGTATCATGAATGAGTTTTAACTTATGCAAAATTTCAGGAAAATGTTAATTTTTATCGTTTTTATAGATAATTAATTAAAACATGTGCAAATATTTCGTTGGAATTAAAAAAAACCGAATTGCATTTTGAGTTGTGTTTTGATACAGGGTGTCCGTTTGTCGAGCTCTCAGTTATTATAAGAGATACGAGGTCGGTTTAATTAGAGCAAAGTTGCGCATTTTTATGCTAAACAATTATCTGAAAGAAAATTGAATGTGCCATTTTTAGTTTTTGAATTATTTAAAAAAAACGAAAATTTGTAATTTTCGTTTTAATTTTTTTAAAGCGTAAACTAAAAGATCTAGACGTTCTTAACTACGACGTTCTTAAGGCATTTTTTTTACAAAAAATTTAGTTTGTTCATTAAAATTGGTGGAATATATTGGAATATGGGGTCCATAAAAAAATCCAAAGTTCAGTGTTGTAACTCTGATATCAAGAGCGTCTTAGAAAATACGATGACAGATTATAATTCCTTGTAAAAAAGTACTTTAAGAACGTCTTAGTTAAAAACATCTAGGTCTCTTAGTTTTGTCTTGAAAAAATATAAACGAAAATTACCAAATTTCCGTTTTTTTTCCAATAATTCAAAAACTAAACATTACACATTGTTCAGCATAAAAATGTGCAACTTTGCCCTAATTTAACCGACTTCGTATCTCTTATAATAACTGAGACATATTATAAAAACACAGAAACCAGGTGAGTAATTGCTTTTCTTATAAGTTACTATAAAAAATTGGAAAATAGAGTAAAAACGTTTAGAAAATCTGTGGGAAAATAAAGAAGAAAGAAATTTATGTTTATTGAGCATCACATTGAAGAACTGGTTTGTTTCATCATTTGTCTTAAAAATAGCACAATTATTACAAGTTTCGCTTTGTTTACCACAAAGACCTTTCATTTCTTATTATCTCTCTTACACTGCATAGATCGGAATTTTGCAGTAATACATAAATAGCAGCCTTGAGCAAATCGACTTGTTGTCCCTACCCAATATCCCCACAATATTATTTTCCAAACACTATTAAATTCAAATATTTGCCCCCACTGTTTTTCCAGTTTATCCAAACTGAAATTGCATCACCGTCAATGATAACAATTGGGGTCCATTGTAGCGTAACTCGCCGCTCCTCTGATTAGTTTTCCGCAAAAAGGGCTTTTTGTGAAGCTCTTTCAATGCATTTTAATCAATGGGCATGTCCTTGTAACGTGTAATAACACGTTGGCTCGATTATTTAAAACTAGACATTCTTTTGCTGTCAAGATAATTTTTTCGGTTTGCTCGCTTGCATACGAGTTTTCCTGGGTGTTAGAAACGGACGGTTGTGTGCAGTGCAAGAGATGAAGGAGCTAAATGCAAAGGATCTCTTGGAGGATGCCTACCAGTAAGTTTCTATCCACTTGCAAAAATTTGAAAAAAAAATCGGGACTCAATTTTTTTCCGACATTTCAAAACCTCATTTAATTGAATATGTAATAAGTTTTTGTTTTTTCAGAAGCAAATTAGCTTAGAATTTTCAGTTTTTTGTCATAAAATGATTTAATTTGATATAAGTTCTGATCTATTTGGGCTTTAAGCAATGTTTTTAGAGAAATTCTTGATAACTATAAAAGGTTGAGGATTCTTTGTTTATGCATAATTGTTCACGTATATTTCAAAAAAAAAATCATTTCTATTACAAGTTTTTCTATACTAATGTTTTTCTATATTAATGTGCATCGAAGTAGTCGTTGAAAGGGATCATTTTAAGGTGGCAACCATGCAAAAATTCTAATTTCAATCTTTCCTACAAATTATTTTTTCAAATAAATTTGTACCCCAGGAAGCAAGACATAATTAAAATTATCAACGTAATTAACATAGATAGGGTGGCAAAGATTTTTGTCATTACTGATGTGATTAAATTTGTTCCAAATGACACTTTTTGTGTGAATCAACCTTTAAGCTTTAAAGATGCATTTAGACTTTTACAGCCTACTTGATGCACATTAATATGAGAAAGAGTATAGTTAAGCTGTTCCAAATAAATTTCCGATCAAAGTGTCCCATGACTGATATTAAGTTGGCAACATAAACAATCAAATTTAGACGTCACACTTTTACAGTCAATTGTCATTCATTTCTGAGGGGCAGTTGCTACCATGGCCGTGTTGCCAACATAATTTCAAAGTCAGAGGTCACTTTGATCTGACATTTATTTAAAACCATGGTACAAATAAAGTGTTTATGATTCAGTAAGTGAATAAACAGTTAATTTACCAATTTTAACCAACGGTAGCTGAACAAATCACTGCAATGTTTAATGTATTGGGTCTCTAGTGGCTTAATATGTGTTGAATGATTAAAAAATGGTTAATTAATTATTTAATGATAAATAAAATTATCACAAATAGCTCTGATTTATATTTTATGCACAAATTGTATAAAATTTGGAATTTACGAGTCAAAACAGAGAAATGTCTTATCAGTGTGACTGAATGCAAAATATGTTTTTGATAATTTTATCAATGTGACCAACATGTTTGCATAAATTTCATGTATCTTTGCTATTCCTGTGACAATAGTTTAATTATCGTTGACGTTTTTCAAAAAAAAATTTTAAACAATTGATAGTTGTTTTTTTGTCTGGCACTGAATATTTGAAGACTTTTAATTACTTCATCCGCTTTTCCAGAAAAATCGACACGTTGAAAACCAGTAAACCACAAGGGATTCCCAACGCTTTGAAAAATTCAGCGACTGATCAAACAACTTTTGCGCTCTATAGGACAGTGCTACTCAAGGGCGGATATGTAGGGCACATCAATATGGCTTTTGATGCAACTGATTGGTAAGTTGATTATTTAATTTGAAATGAAATTGGAGTAAAAGTACTTAAAAGCATGCTTGAATTTTTTATTTCAAATTTAAATGTAGATTTTTTTATCTTAAAATAAACTCACAGAATGTAATTAAGTTAAATAATTTGGAACAGTATTATTTTTGCATGTACGTATTTAGTTATGTAAGTTTTAAATACACCACGAAAATACACACTCTACGGTTTTAATATATACAACGCTTTATACAATCTGGTATATCTGGTTGCCTGCCACAACAATTTTATTTAAGACATTATTGAAGTTGTTTATAATACAGAGTGTTTCATACGAATTTACTAGGCTTGCGCCTAATTATACAGAAATCACAAAACACTGGATAAAAAAACACATTCGTTCTATCAAGAGACGGCATGAATATGATTGTAGTTTATCTATCTTAATCACTAACTAACTTAAAACGTTGTAATTTTTGAAAGGTGAACAAATAAAAGATTATCCAATTTTTCAAAATTTGTAATCGAATTCGTATCGGAATATGTATTATTGATTGCATCTTACAGGCACAGGCCTCGTAAAATTATGTGAAACACCCTGTATATTGATTTTTTGTAATAAGAAAATGTAAATAATGTTTAGTTTATTATCGTATCAACAAGAAATTATTCCCTATGCTCCCTAGGATTTAGGGATATTCGTGAATAGGTTGCCATAAATTTGATTAGGTTGGTTTTTGGTAACAAACAACAGATATCGTAATCAGTGTCAAAATTTAGGTAAGTCACCTGTCAGCTTGTATGGATAATTATTTATAATTATATGGATAGTTGACAGCCTGTCAGGTTGACAGAAAACGTCAACCGTCAACATCAACAGGTATCCAACCCCTGGCATTCAAAATTACTTGAAAATTTTAGTTAGAAACAACATGAAAAACGCAATTTTCCTAAAAGTTTAAATCCTAGGTGGTAATTTCTTGTTGACAAATCTGTATGTAAATTTTTATTTATACTTTTTTTTGGAAATTTTAATTTCTTTGTAACTATAGTTAAGTGTGTATCATTTTAAATGTGTTTTAAATTAATGTTGTTTTAATTACTATTTTATTAAACTTTTATTTATTCAAATAGAAGGATACAGTGGAAATCCTGGTTAGGCAAGATGTATGGTATCTGGCCCATTAGCTCAGTTGGTTAGAGCGTCGTGCTAATAACGCGAAGGTCGCGGGTTCGATCCCCTCATGGGCCAATACTTTTTTTTCAATTTTTGTACTAGTTTATTTACTTTTATGTTAATAAAAGTTTGTGTCAGAGATAAAAAATGAAATTTAGTTGGATTAATTTAACTAATTTCTGATTAATGCAGCCTGTAGCTGCAATTAAGTTATTACCATTGAAAAATAGAGACAGAAAATACAAAGTTTATCAATTTTTATATTCTCTGTCTCTGTTTTTCTGTATTGCCGTAGTTTGTAAATTTGGAACACTACAGAAAACTGTAATCGGTAAATATTCGTCACTAGAGGACGCCTTTGTCAACAAAACGCGGTCAGTTTTCTAATCAATACACCTCTGCCGAATTTAGTCGCCCTTTCTTTTTTCCATAGGCGTCTCATTGTTTTTTATTTGTGGCTAATTCGTCGCCATTTTGATTTTGTTAAAAGTAGCCATTATTTAGTTCACCATTTTTTCATACTTTTGTTATAAAATTTTCACCCAATAACCTCTTTAATTTCATCAGTTTGCTGTTAAACCGGCATCAAAAACTAGTCCCCGCCTCTGTACTTCTTCATCAAACCCAGTCACGTGTCCTTCTAACGACCAATCAGCGCTCATTTAGCATTACAACATTAGTGCATCCGTAGAAACGTCATTCTTCGCTAGTGGAAGCTCCTTTCGATTGTTTAAAAATTGTGTTAGTGTTGTGTTTGCGTAGATTTAATAAATCAAAACTGCCACTTTCAACGGTAAGCCTCAAATTAGCGATTTACCGTCATTTGGCATTCGATTCGTTGGGCCGGGCCTTAAATCAGCCGGAAAATCAATAGTACTTCTCTGACAGCAGCCCTCTTGATGTCTCTGAATGTTAAAACAAATCGCAGAGGGCTGAGTCACTTGTAGCCTACTTTGCAGTGGCAAGTTCAGCCCAATTTGCATGGTGTTTGAATTTTTCATTGTTTGGCTTTGCTGGATGTGCGCTTTGTGCATGTTTAGGGCCTGATTTTGGGGGCGGCCAGTTGGAAAAATCAATCAAATGACCGAGAAAACAACTGCTTTGGTTTTAATTCTTCAAGTCGAGTCCGGTTTCAGTCAGATTCCGCCAGTCTTTAATGAATCTATTAACACTTGATGCAAGTATCAAGGAAAACAGTAAGGCTGTAAATCCATCAACTGTTTGTTTGTTACACTTTGCCTATGCATGTGTAAAGAAATGTAATCTTGGGTGTTAATTACATGTTGATTTGTTATTTCGACCAAGGTTGATGTTTTTCAGTTTTTCATAAGAAAATGGCTTGGGGCTAAGTCGCACCAAGGTGTCACTTTGAACCCATTTCCAATCCATCATTTCACATAAAGCTGAAATAATTTTGATGAATCACTGTGTTATTAAGTTATTATAATAAGACTATTTTTGGCTTTATTGCTTATTGCTTTATTGATTTTTCATTAATAAAGATGTAAGAATGAAAAATTATTACAAGGCTCGCTTCATATCACTGAAACGAGAATTTATCAAAGTCAATCAAGGAGCAGCTGGAAGACAAGAGTTTAGAACTTGGAAAAATTGTAATGATGTTGTCTTACAACTTTATTGTTTACAGAGCTGTTGCTTCAGATTAACTTATCAAAATACTGAAATAATATTCAAGTTCTTGTTTGGGGTCTGAAATTTATGTTTCGATACTGAAAGAAAAACGCAATAGTTTTGTCTGAGTCTTGGGACGCACTATAGAAATTGTTGTTCGATTTATTTATTCCTTTGTGTGACAGAAGAATGAATCTGATCATAACAAAAGCAGTAACTATCTTTTATTTGTCTTTCAGAATTTTTTTCAAAAATTTTTGATTTATAGTCTATACGAAACCTTCACTGTCTAAATAACATGAGCTTTTGGGATTTTCGGTTTTGACATCGTGGTTTTGACCAAGAGTGAGAAATCAAAAGTGCTGCATGTTTTATTTGTTTGGTGGACAAAAAATATGTATTTAATTATTTTGGAAATTTTTGTTTTTTATCTTTTTGTACGTTAAAGAAGTTTTCAAAGTCAAAATTTATATATTTTTATCTTAACTTGAATTCCCAATATCAGTGATATTTAAAAAAAAATGTTTGTTGAAAAGCCTGAAAAGTGCTAAAATGTTGTAGAACTGAGAAATATATTTTTGAAAATTTGTGTGTATGTATGTATACACAAATTATAATCCATTTCATTGAAATTGGCATAACAGTAGGCCGTGATTGTGTAGGAAATAAATTTGTCACTAAAAAAAGTGCGGTTAAGATAGTTCAACTTTTATTTTTAAAGAACCGTTTTTCGGAGGTTTTTAGAGAGAGTTTTTTTCCATAAAAATTTTAACACCCTGTTTCATCCCTTTGTAGGTGTAGGTTTAACACCAAAAACATAGACTTCTTGCTTTGTAGAAAATAGTTTGGCTTTATTCAAATTGGTATATTTGATTCCATTAACCTAAAATAGGAACAAGAAAAAGAAATTGATTATGTTTTCAAACATACCTTAGCGTGTACTCTAAATCCGGGGTTTTGAACAGAACTACTTTTAATTAGAATTTGAAAAAATACTGGGATAAACGAACAACAAACGAAAATAATGAAAAAAAGAATACAAATGACAGTCAAGTCAGTTCAACAAACCTTGTAGGTAACTAATCAAAAAAAAAAGAACCCATCTGCTATTATACCAGGGACATGAGCAGGGCTACAAACTTAAATATGAAATTCCATAGCCAACTATTATGCCAATTTCAATGAAATTCAAACCCCGGCCAAAGAAGCAATTTTTCACTAATTCAAATTCAAATATAATTTTCTAATACGTATAATAAGAAAGAGAGAGATCGCAAAAATGAATAAGAGCATATAAAGAGCAAAGCATAAGAAAAACAATAGAGCATAATAGCAAAAGAAATAGCGCAAAAATGAATAAGAGCATAAAAGAGGGCAAAGCATATGAAAGACAAAAAGCAAAAGAGCAAATAAGAAAGAGCAAAGCAATAATGAAGAGCCTAAGAGCATAGAAACATACACAAATAAAGGAATAAATAAAATGAGGTAATGTAATTTTTTTAAATCTTTAAGACAATCAGCTACCTTAGTAATTTTCGAAACGATAATAGTATAAAGAACGCGTTTCGGAAGGCAAATTATGTGTAACGAGTTCAGGTTTATGAAACCAGCAGCGAAGCGCGAGTTTTATAAAGAACGAGTTCCCACAAATGTCTTATGAAACAAGTTTTTTATGCTATTTTTTCTATTTTGCGCGTTTTAGGTATTTTCTATTTTCACAATTTAGGAACTTTTGCCTTAATAAGGTGATGGTTGGTAATAAATGTCACAAAGTTTGAAAAGTCCCAAATATTTTTTAACATTTTGTTGAATTANAATTTTTTAAAATTTAGGAGTTTTTGCCCTAATAAGGTGGTGGATGGTAATAAATGTCACAAAGTTTGAAAAATTCGATTTTCGAAGTGTCAAGTCTTGAATAGTTTTCAAAATTTTGTTGAATTAACAATGAATACTGCAAAATTTCATTCATGCCTACCACCTAAAATAAAAGAAAACGCTCAAAACGCCGCTGAAAATCACCGTTATTAACTCCTGGAAAGTAAATTGTACTAGTCTATTTCAGCATCCAAATTGGTGTTGAAATAGCTCATTAAAGCGTCGGTTTTGGTATCGAAATAAGCTTTCTTTCAGACGCAAAATAGGAAAAATGTATTACTTAATGGTTTCAAAAACCGAGCATAAATGTATCACAAATAAAATAGGAACGTATTTAAATTCAGATCTCATATTGGTTCATGAGTAATTCAGGAACTCGCTATTGTTAAACCATTGTTTTTATTGGAAATGTAAAATCGATTCTGAATACAATATCCTTCTGTTTTGAAAAATTTCAATTTTCATAATATGTAATTGTATAATTTTTGTAACTTCCATTTATTCCCTTTAATTATTTGGTTTAGTAAATAATTAAACAAATAGCAGTAGTAGTATCTCAAAAAAATTAAGAAAAACAACTCTTTGCATACACATTAAAACGATGAGAAAAATTAAAATTAAAAAAAAATAGGCCAAAAGAAGTTATCAAAAATACTGTAAGGAACGAAGGAATTTAATTGTTTGTTAATAAACAATTTGTTAATGTTTGTTTAAACATTCAAACACAAAAAAAGAGTTTTTATATTTTAAGGCAAAAAATAAAAAAGGGATTTAATAATCTCCCAAAAATGTTTACTATTTTTGCTTAGAATATTCTTATTTTATTCAAAATTCTTTCCAACCAAGGCGTCGTTTATTCTCCAAGACTCCGGTTTTTTGAATTCCGGTCACGTCTCGGCCGCCCCATAAAATCAGGCTTTCCCGTTTGACTGAATGACCAATGTGGTGCTCATGATCAGGCCTAACCCACGATGCCGGGGAGCCTCACCGGCTCATACCGCTCCTTGTCGGGCACGAGCGACGTGTACCGCTCGACTACGGTGGCGGGTGGCGGCGGAAATGCCGCCACCGGAATCCTCGAAGGCATGAAGAAAGCTTTTAGTTTCATGGCAGGTGGGACAGCCGCCACCACCAAGGACCAAAAACTGATCCAGAGAGTGTCCAGCGGCGGGCCAGTCGTCATCTCATCCAGGTATTGTTGATGATGGGGGCGGTTTAGCGGTGGCGGTGCAGTCTTTGTGTAACACACGGCTTCTTGGTGTTTGTATGTGGACGAGATTTCGCTTGCCGGGCTCGGCATCGATCAAGGGCTATTTGTGGTCGGTGGTGGAATTTCATTTGCATAGTGATTTGGTTTCGCGGAGAAAAGTGGGTTTGCATGAATTTTTAGTCTGATCCAACGAAAGATTTACTAATACAAAGACTGGTTTTAATGCATGCATTAGACGAGACTGATATTTTTGAATAAAGAGGAAGTAAAATTTTTACTAAATTATACAGCACGATTAAAAAGAAAAATAAAACAAATAAATAAGTGGAAAAGAACCTAATCCGGTATTATTAACAAATCTGTTGTATTATTTAACACTGAAATTTAACCAAGTTTCAAAGTAATGTGGTCAAGGTCATTTCGTATGGTACTTGAAAATTCGGATAAAGCGACATTTTCGATGGGATAATAATTCGTATTTTAATTAATACACAGAACTTATTCTTACGCTTTTCTTTGCTTAAAAAAAGGATAACTGTTGAAAGAAAAATAAATACATTTCATTCTGTGTAATGAATAGTAAGTAACATTTATTCCAGTCCAAAATAAAATAACACAAGAACTATGATACGTTTTTTAATAAATCCTAAAAGTAACGAATGGGTGCGAAAAATTGAATTTTGCGTTTCGGACAAGGCGATGTGGATAACTGAGGTTCTACTGTATGTAGAAAAACCAATCGTGTTTTTTTTTGTAGAGAATTACATTTAGTACTGTCTAAAGGACTTAGAATTTATTATACCAGTTGTCCCAGGCAGGTTTGAATATAGGAAATTAACATGGGAAATTAGTTTTTATTTTTTTCCGGTTGCAGGAGTAACATAAATCAAAATCTGATTGATGGAATTTGTAGTGGTCGAAAAGAGCTATCTTATACATTTTTGTCAATTTTCTAATTAACTCCATTTGGGCCAAAACGGCCCTCGAAAAATCGAAATTTAAATTAAAATTTCGACCACTACAAGCTCCATCAATCAGATTTTGATTTTTATTACTCCTGCAGCCGAAAAGAAATGAAAACTAATTTTCCTTGTTAGTTTCCTATATCCAAGCCTGCCTGGGACACTCGGTATATTTTTTTAACTTAAAGAATGCAATATGAGTGTACGAGAATTATCCCTAAAGGCAATAAAGTTTCAAAAAATGTAATCTTACATAATCAATACGTGAAATATTTTTTCAAAATGTGAAATATTTCACGGATTTTAAATTAAGTAGTTGATCGAATGAATTAACGAAATCTCATCATTTTAACAAAAACAGAATATTTTTAATTCATTCATATTTTACAGTTTTCCATATTATGTATTTTTTTATAGGCATTTGCAGAAATAGTCCTTTGGTTATAAGAAGTTTTTATACATCCAGAAATAAATTTCTAATTTTGAGACATTTTCAGATTTTCAACCACAAACCTCTTAACTGAAAAATGGTAAATGTCTGAAAAGTTGGAATCCTAGGACAATTTATAACAACTTAACCTCCAGAACATTAGTTTGATGAAATTGAATTTTTATACAGGGTGCGCCAGAACTCGCGCAGGAACATGGAAAAAATGTTAAAAAAATTTAGAAATCACGAGAGTTTAAATTTCGCACTTTGACTCTACTCTTTGTTGGAAATATAATTTTCCAAGTTTTTTGCTACAGGCTATTTTAAGAGGAAACAAGGCTGTATGTATGTTTGTAATTATGAAAAAACATACAAGATCATCAGTAACACTAAATAGACATAAAAATGTCAATTGTCAAAAAATAAATGGCAAAATTTTTGAAGCATTTTTTCCAAATACCTGGGATCTTATCTTACATCGATTTTTTCTCTGGGCCGAGTTCTGAAACACCTTGTATATTTTTTGTTGCACTAAATTTTTGTTAATAATGAAGTGAGAAACTGTAAATTACTTATAAATTTTTCTATTTCTAAAAAGGAAAATATTTATGTATTATAAGAAATGTATGTCAATAAGTCTTTTGCTTTTTTAAAACAAACATTTTCTAATCGAACATTCGAAAAAATACATGCAGATGAATAATCGGTAATAGTATATTATTTAATGAGCACATAATGGAGGCTATAATTCAAAAGCATAAGGTTTATAGATCAGCCAATGGCGAGGGAGTTATAGCCATTATGTGTAAGTCAAATACGACGTTTTATCTACGATCTTTTTAATAAAACATTTTCTACTTACAAAATTTATATTTATTATAATGACAGTGAATAACACTATAAATAATCAATAAATTATACTTGCCTTGATCTCTTTTAAAATATTAACAATTTATTTTTTTACAGTGTTTACAGAGTTTATAAAACAAAAAGTTAGTAAGTAGGTAATTATTTTATGTCTAATTACGCTGTACCATTTAGTTATATTTTTTTATTGGTTTTCTTATTTTTTTTATAATTTTTATAATTTTTTGTATTGTTAGATATACCAATATGAATAATTAGTGTTTTTTATTAATTCTAGACATTTTAATTTCAATTAAAAAACGAAAACAACAATTGAGGAGTTAGATTCTAGATCGAAAGCTTTGTTGTTTTTACCTATTTAATTAATTACATTTGACAGAGTTTGTGACAATTTTTTGCCCGTAGTCCAATAAATCAATTCTGTTGCGTTCTTTATTTTGTTGGCAGATAGTCACAAAATGAGGTCAAACTTGCCAAGGTAATTACCGTCTGACATTGAAAGAAAATCCTGAAATGTAATAAGAAAAACTTCGTCCTTTCCTCATATCCACTTTAACCGCAACTTTGCCAGTAAATAAAATTTTACTGCGACTCGGATTCAATATGAAAACAGATGAGCAACCGGTCTAAATATACCCCCCATTTGGGCGTTTCGACAATTTTAATGAAAATTTCCTGCTACGTGACTAAGGTCAGGGCAGGCGCTTATTAAGAAATTGCGTCGTTGGACTCTATTAGATTATGTATCTACGCGTCTTCCATTAAACAAATTGCTTTTCATTGATTCCCAACAAGCGAAATCTCGTAGTCGCATTTACGAAATTTTTTCTTCAACGTTGGGTAAGTAGGCATGGTTGATGCGCTTTTTTTAATAATTATTGTGATCACATGAGCTTGTCGCCCACTAACACCGGAGCCGAGTTTCCGGTCGAAAAACCGGAAACCGACTCGCTAACCAAATTACTAATCATGGTAGTGTAGGACACTTCTAGTTCATTGCCACTTTGTTTTAGGACAGAAAACTCGAATAGTTATAACAGGAAAATGCCAGCTTCCGGTGTAGCTGAAGAAGCAGCCCTTCTGGGGTAAGGATGTTAAAAAAAATAATGTTTTAAAAAATATATCAAAGAAGCTTTTGAGTACTTTTTAAATGTCAAATCAAATGTCGGGTTTCATTATCATGTGTTTTTTTGACATTGTCAAAAAAATTTTCAGCACGATGCCATCAGATAGCATGGATGATATCGAACTGAAAAATATTCAACTGCAATTTCCTTCGACTCGGTCTTTGTCACGTGATGATTCTTCGGCCCAGGAGGAGGTGGTGGAAACGGATAGGGGGAATTTGGTGGTGGCTGTGCAAGGGTCTAGGAATAAGCCAGCGATATTGACCTATCACGACTTAGGTCTCAATTGTAAGTTTGTGTTTTAGGTGTTTTAGAGCACGAGCGACGAAGCGGCGAGTGATTTAATGCGCGCACGCGGGAAAGTTCTCACGGGAGACTTAATATTTTTTTCTTACAAACTAATGGTGATACTAAAATTGGCTAAATTCTGTTTTTACTGAACGCACTGTATGTTTTCCCTATGTGCATATTAAAAAAAAATGTTTTCCTAACTTTTATGGAACAAGTTTCTTTGTTTTACATATTTGTTTTTTACAGTAATAGAAAAAATAGTATGTGATTGGTCTCGAGTCATGAATTTTTCTACTCGCTAGGCTCGTTGTTCGTTTAATTATATAGGATGTTCCAAAAGTCTGGAAACGATGTTATTCTTGCGAAACTATCAAATTTTTTGGCAAATAAATTTATAGGTGTGCAATGACTATAAAAATGCTGTTCAAAAAAAAATTTGAATATTAATTAATTGTTTATACTTACGAGATAAACATAGTAACTTTTTTTTTAAATAGAAACCTACCACAATTTTTTTTTAGACAACGCGTTTGTTACGAGAATTGTTGCTGTGTAATTTTTTTTTGTAAACCTCACACTTTTTTGTTAAAAAAATGTTTGACTTACAAGAATTAAAGAATTTTTTTGCAGTAAATTACCAGTTTTTTTTTGGAAATAAATTAATAAATGTTTAAAGGTTGTAAAGGAGCGATGCCAAAAAAAATATTTTAATTAATTGTTTTGAGATTATGATACTAATAATTTTTTTCCTAAATAAAAACGGTTTTTTATTTATTGTTTTAGAAAGATATGTTTATGCATTTTATAAATGTACAAAAATACTTATTAAAAATGTTACAATTTATGTTAAAAAAAATATAAAGCTTGTTTCAAGAATTGTTGCTATGCAAAATTTTTTTTGTAAACTTCACACTTTTTTGTTAAAAAATGGTTAACTTACAAGAATTAAAGAATTTTTTTGAGTAGACTACCAGTTTTTTTTGAAAATAAATTAACAAATGTTTGAAGGTTGTAAAGGAGCGATGCCAAAATAGTTATTTATTCGACGAGTTTGAGTGTAAATCGGACTCTTTATTTGACCGAGTGGATTTTTAAACCGTGAGTGTAACGAGTGGTTTACTATCCACTAGGTGGTATAAAGCGTCCGATTTACACTCAAACGAGTGGAATACAACATTTTATTCTTCGAATTAGACTCAACAAGGCTTAAACGTGCTTTAAATCTGTTAAAAATAATTTGACGTTTTGTATTGAGAAATGCCAAACAGTTGTCAAAACTT